AAATATGACGAATATGAAGATTTTAATTTGTAACCAAGAGCATTCTATTCCTATTTTATCTGACAATTGCAAGCACTCAGTTTCACAAACCGGAAAATTTTGTAAGTTTTTTTGCAAATCTCCAGTAAGAAATACTATTTTTCAAAATTATATCAAATTAAAAAAAGGAAAAGAGTTGAATTTAATTCTTGATGCAATATAAGGTGGAATAGTATAGAGGAAAATAATTTCCGGCCCAGCAAAAAAATCTAGCATACTTTAGCTTCTAAAATCGACATTATTAAATTGTTTGAAAAGTTATTGTCTACAATATTTCAAAATTCTATTGTGAACACCAATTCAGATTAAGAAGAAATCGAAGAAACTACTCATTAGAATAAAGCTTTTTTAAAAGAAATCATGGAAAATTCAATTAAGTTTCTTGAAGAGCCTGCAGAAAACCTCACTAACCCAAAGACATTGAAAGCCAAGTTTTTATTATTTGAGGCAACGCACAAAAGAAAAAAAAAACTTAGATTTTTTATTTGATGCACTTAAAACTATTAAACCAAGCGCAGTACCTAGTGAACATGTATTTTCAATTGCAGGCAATTTTGTGTCCAAAATTAGAACAAGGCTTAGACACCGTTCAGTGAAAATACTATGTTTTTTAATTAAATTAAGATTTCTTGTTATGCAACTTTTATTTAAAAAATTCAAAAACCGGTTAAAACCTGTTTTTGGGGGAATTTAGAATCCAAAAACCTGTCTTTCAAAAAGTCAGTTTTCGCCCAAACCCTAATCAGAATTAAAAGTTAATCCTAGAAGACAAAGGGTAGATGACTAATCATGTACATTACGGTTTATAATTATAGGAAAATCTAGATTATTGCAATAACGATAGCTGTAAAAAAATTGTGTTTTGTCTGAGTTAAAGTTCACCAGCTACTAAGAGCCCCATGCTGTAACACAAGGCTGTCAATCTTAAATCTTAACATGGGCCAAATAAACAATTTAAAATTTTAAGTGTGCTGTGAAAATAAAAGACTTGAATGTTTGGTGGTAAAAATATTGCATGGCAGTCACATGACTAAACAAGAGCTATGACAATTAGATAATATAAGCGATATACTATCGCAACAAATTGCACAAACTGTTTAAAAAAGTAATTTAAGTTTAGTTTTTCTAATAATCTGAAAATATTTTTAAAAAATTTTTTCAAAGAAATCACACTCTCTATGAATTTTTTTTTAAATAAAAACTCTAGTTACAATACATGCCTCTTCAAGTAATCAGAGAGTGTTGGCTTTTTATCAAGACTGGAATAAATTTTAGTATCATTAGCAAACAATGCCACCTTAGATGTGAGAACTTCAGGATGACTTGACAGAACACAAGATTCTGTGAATGACTTGACAGAATAAATTTATCCCTTAAAATTTTTTATTTAAAAAAAATATGTTGGTTCCAGATAAGATGGCATTATTTATTATTTTGTTACTAAGGAAATATAACATCATCAACTAACATTAAAATGTGGATACTAATCTGCATGTAAAATTATACAATTTAGCTCAAAATTATTTGATTTAGAACAAAGATTTAGAACAAAAATTATACTTCTATTCAAAAGATAAATTTAGCTTGAGGTACTTTGCAACCCCTTGCAAAAATTATACAATAAAGAAAATTTGATACTTCATCTTGAATGGTTTCGTCAAAACATTCGGTGTACACTTTTACAACTTGCTAACACTGAAAAGTGTTAGCAAGTTAGAAAATTTTTTTTTATAAATGAAAATAGGGATAAAGAAAAACAAAAAAATATTTTAAGCAAGATTTATAGCTTTATGTATTATAAATCCTATGGCAGAAAGTCATATAGTAATGAACTTATTTAGTATGTTTTGGTTCTATGATATACCAACAGATAAACAAACACTTTGTTATTAGATGAATTTTTTTTCTGCATTTTTATTTAAATGCAATTACTCAAGGTGGAATCTAACCAATTAAAGTATAAAAATATTTATTAAATGAAGAAAAAATAAACACAAATTTAATTTTGCTAATTGATAAAATGTACTTGCAAAAAAGTGTTATCATAGAATACTGTAACAATTTTTGTGTTGAAAACCAGCATTTTAGTCCATTTAGTAGTATATCTAGATATTCTACACAGGCATTCTGTTTCTTTAGAAATTTTTTTATTTTTAAAAAAATATGTTCTTTCTAATTCAATAGATCATCTAATACCACAACTAGATATATGATGTTTTCACAGAATTCAAGTACAGCTCCAACCAAGACAACACTTAGGTAGAGAAAAGCTTGTGTTATTCCTATTTTTGTTTGCTTAGATTTTTTAACAAGCATTGACATTGATTTATTAGCATTTAATTTAAGACTATTTTGACCATTCAGTGAGCTTCTCTAAGTCTTTTTTAAGATTCAGTGTTTCTTCAAAATTTCCCCCTTCAATCCACAATAGGGCGTTCTACCATGTAGCTAGTTATATAACAGGGTTGTACCCACTATGATAATCAGTAGTCTGGTTTATTAAGTTTTTTTTTTATTTTTTTTCGGATGAAAATACTGAAGAAAAAAAATTTAAACGTCATACTACTAAAATACATCTAATAGGAAATGGTTCAATTAAAATTAAATTAATTTATTAATTCAATAAACTAAAGATCTTCATTTTTGTTGTAGTCAATATCTATTTTGTATCATTTCTATTTGTCAAGCTTACAAAGGTGAGTTCATTTTTAAAAAGGTTTTATAAATAAAAAAAATGTTTTATTATTCTTTCTCCAGTTTCAATCAAATTTAATTTAGTTGAATGTTTAAAACATTGTTTTTAATATTTTAAACATTTTTCATTATACTAAGACTTACTAAGAAGAAACATGCTTCAAAATGCAACAACGTTTAAAAAAACAGAACAATGCTTTTTAAAGTTTTCTTTTAAATAATCACAAAGAATAAAATCTTTATAGATCAAAATAATGTTTTATTAAAAAACACACTCTTGTAAATAACAAACTGTTTGGTCATCCTGCCGGACTACTGACAGACTTTTTTAATTTCAGTTGCCCTTGGAAAAAACAAGTCATCCCGTACCACCGGAAAACTATGAGGGTACACCCCTCATAGTTTACCTCTCACTTCATTTTTTTTTAAAGAACTTTACCTCTCACTTCATATTTTTTTTATTTATAAAGCCTTCTAATTCAGGTTAGGGTTAGAATTAGGTTTCTGTCAATTCAATCGTAATTTGTGGATTTTTAGCCATGGCAACTGTGTTGCTTTAGTGAAACAGAATTTTCTTTTTCTGCAAATGTGGCTATTATTTGGTAAGTTCTGCTTTCAACTTGTTAAGTTATGACATGTAGTATGCTTCTGTAATGGTTTTACCTTTTGAAGATAATCGATTAAAATAACTTCATGACTATCCTAAAAAACAGTCTTCATTATTTCATTACTTTCCCAGCCAAAAAACAGCTTTTGTTTTTTTTGGAGCCAGTTCCTTCCATGCAATCTACTGTTTGGACTGTATTTTTGTTTTAAATGCATAATGGTGTATCTAAGTTTCATCTGCAGTAATTAATTGGCACTCAAATTTATTGTGTAAAAAAAATTTGCCAACAGAGGGTTGGAAATGTTCATTCAAATACATTTTTAGTTTAATGTGAGCAAACACTGCACCCTACACATAGACAGCTTTTTCATGTTTAAATGTTGATTTAATATGCAAAAAACACATTCTTTTGACAGTAGATAACCTCCACTATATCTGTCACTTTAATTTATAAGTCACAAGTATCATTTGATGAACCTTTGGAAATGTTTTTGTTGGTAGTTGCAGTTTTTGGACGTCCTAAATATTCATCATCTCCCAAGCTCTTAAGACAACGTTTAAATTCAGCTGACTAAAGTTTCACTAAGGTTAATGATGGTGCTCAGTCCCCACATACATTTCAGAGCATCCTTGTATTTAATAAATGCTTGGTGGACAGTTTTTAATACAAGTAAATTATATATAATATTAATAATTAAATAGAAACTGCTAATATTGTAAATGAACAAAAACTTCCATTTTTAAAAACTTTTCCTTAGTATGTAAGTGAATGGTATTATAAGAATTACAGGGACGTCATAAATTGTCACTTTTAGCTCAAACATCAAATGTACTACGTTGTGGACTCAAAGGATAAATGACAATAACTGAAATATTACTTTTTAACATTTTATTAACTAAAACAATAAGAAGAAATATTGATATAATAACAATAATAATATTGTTCAATTTCATCACATTCTCCTTAACACCTTTTAAGCAGTCCATTGTTCAAAGATCCAACTGATTTGGAGCCGTACATTTTTGAGTTGATCGTCTTGGTAAAATATCATTTTCAACCTTATTGAACATGTCAGGTCGAGACTCACTGTTAGTGGCGCAAGTTGAGGAATAGAAACAGTAGAATCAAGACTGTTGGCATGCTTAATAAGTGCATATTGTGGGTTTACTTCCATTAGGAATACTTCATCTACATGGTTTATACTTAGAATTTTTAACATGTCTCTTTATTAACACCTTGCCAGGTTGTGTAAGCCATGATGGGATTGAGTGTCCAATAGTAAAACGTCTTTGATGTGTAAAGAGTTCTCCCAATATTTTAAATTAAGGTTTCATGATTTCAAAGCTAGTTTGATTGTTTTTATAATGATGCCATTGTATCGCCTGAGAGTTATGCGGAGTTGTTTTACTGGTAGCTCTTTCTTTTATTTTATTTCAGTAGTCAGTTTATGTTCTTTTTAAAAAAATTAGCAGCAGTTAAAAGTATTATCTAGGTACTATTATGTGGGGTGATCATACACAATTATAGAAACAATTTTTGTATCAATAGGTTTAAGATTATTAGATTAAAAAAGTATATCTAAGTTTACAATATTATACAAAAACATAATTATTCAACTAATACAATATATACAAAAAATATGAAAACAAATCACTGTACCTGAAAATTGAGAATGGTTTTTTTCACCAAGTTATAGTAATTATCAAGAGGTTTGGTTCCAAGCATTTTCCTTATTAGGATGAGATAAATTGTTAATAATAATTTTTTATCTAGAAATATATTTTGATAAGTAATTTAAGTAAAAATTTTTTGCATAAAAATGTCACTATGTCATCTACAAGCATCACTACAATGTCACTATAATTTAAAACCAGTAATTGTATAAAGAAGATTATATAAAGAAAAAAGTAAACTACACTATACCAATTAAGTTAAAAGCAAAATTTAAATCAACAAAAAGCTTTAAACACGTTATCTCCTTGTTATATATACATTAGGCTCTCCTTCCCCTCCTCTCCTTGCTTTACAGTTGCATCTTCTTCCTCCTTTTCTCCAATTCACTCTTTGTATTAAGGATTGAAGAGTATTACCATTTTATTATTCAATAGCCTCAATAATTTTATTATTTAATAATATTGCCTATTCACACCTGGTACAAATTTTAAGTGTTTATTATTAACCAGTTTCTTGAATAGACTTTTGAATGAGTCAAAAAAATTTAACTATGTTTTTAACTATTATATTTTATATAAAGCAAACTTTTCACCAGAATACTTTAAAATTAAAAAAAGTTTTACCATAAAGAAAATCTCAAAAAGAATTTGTTAGTGTGTTACAGGATAGATATTGAAAAATTACTATGTATTCAATATAATATCCGGTAAATGAAAAAATCTTAACAGAATAATTTCCATGTTTCCATCATAAATTAACTTAAATCAAAGAATGCCTGTGTTACTTTTTTAGAATTCTATTTTGTTTTCAGAATTGTGATTACCATTTGTTTTCATACTAATAAACTTTTAATCTGTTAGGTTGGTAAATGTAAGCTTTCTTAAGACTTTATCACTAATAAAGTCTTAAGAAATCTGTTTCTGTAGGGTTCTTACCTAATAATATTAGGTAAGAACCCTACAGAAACAGATTTATAAGATTGGTTAAAGAACTGCTTTATAAAAAATATAAATCCAAATCTTCATCAAAGACCAAAACATATTTTACTGATCTAAGTTTTTTACAATTAAATTAAAGGAATATTTATACAACACATTAAATAAGATGTTATATAAAATTTTGATTTTCACATAAATATTATCACAACGTGAACTTTTTTTATAGATGAATTCATTTCTTTGGTAATAGTCAATATGAATTCAATCAATATAGATTGAATAGAATAAAACTATATTTATTATTACATATTGATTAATGATTTATTCATCTCATTTTATTGACTACTCAGTTTGTCCATTATTTTCCTCTTGAATATGGTTCGGTGTCTTTAAAGCGAAACTTTTAAGAGCGAAAGTTTTGAAAGCGAAAGGTCGGGAAAGCGAAAAAGTTAAAAGCGAATGCGATTGGTTAAGCGAGAAAATTTTTTTAACAACATTAGTAACATCTTAAATTAAGATGTTATTAAGATTTAATAACATCTTAATAACATTGGTAACATCTTAATAACATTTTAATAACATTGGTAACATTATTATTTTTATATAAATTCATATGAGTTAACCTATTATTCTTTTTCATTGAATTGTGTCATCTTAAAGTTGTTACAATTGAAGTGAGTCAATTTCAGAAATAAGTTCATGAAGTTTATTATAAACTTTAAAAGTTTATACTTTATAGAAAATTGAGTAGGGCACAATTGAATTGTTTAGAATTTTGCTCCAAAACAAAGCGTAAAAGTTAAGTGTGTATACCAATTATAATAGGGAAAATTAGTTGTTTTCGCATAAAAAATTTAGTTAGTTAGAAGTAGTTCTCTTTTATGTGCCAGCATATCGGCCAGTTATATTTACTGTTTAATTATCTGCTAGGCAAAGTGAGTATTTTAACATTTTTGTTTAAAATAATTTTAATAATTGTTATCAGACATTCACTTTAGAAATATGAATTATAGCTTAAACTTTAGGCTTTTAAGTTAAAGCCTGTGTCAAAAATGACTTTCATATGTTGTATTTAAATATGACTTAATGACATTATTTATATGACAAAAATGGCTTTTATATGGTGCATTTGCCTGAAATTTGACTTATAGTCTATTAGTCAAAAATCACAATATAAGTCTCTATAATAAAGATACTTATATTGTGACCATTATGTATGGCATTATCTTGATCGATGTTGTTACACTTGGAATATGTTGTTTCAACTTTTAGGTATTTTATTTTGCTACAATTTTTTTATGATGTTGTTTTGATTTGATTTGTTCTGTAAACAGAAAGCTGTACAGTGTCCTTTTTTTTCCCACCTGTTGAATTTCAGCAACATTTTTGTCAAAATTATTTATAGTTCATTTTACAAGAGGTAGTAGAAGATTATTTTATTTTTAACTACTTTCTTATTTTGTAATGTGGTTTTTTTTTTAGAACAACTTAAGAGTATGATTTAATAACTGTGTGAATCTTCTTGGTTGATGCCTAAAAGATTTTTTGAAGGCAGTTCTACATTTTATTGAAATATAAAAACATGCCAATATCCCAAAAATTATTCTGCGTAATGTTTTTTGGATTGTTTGCATGTAAAATTAAAAATTCAGTCATTAATTGTGAAAAAGACTAATTGGCTAATTAGTTTAAAAAGTTTCAATGGTGATGATTGATTGGTGAGAAACTTATTTACTTTTTATGTTTTAATTACATGATTTGTAAATATTTATGATATGAATTGTTTGTGATTTCAGTATAGTAAAGTTTTTATTTCTACATTTGTATTACTTAGCACAAATATTTTATAATTTTGTCTACAGATTGGTTTGTAATAGCCTTAATTATCTTATTTACTTAATGTTCAGTATACTGTTATGTTGTTTTTAAACTAGATAAAATAGTTTTTAAAACGAAAATGACTGCTGGCTCTATATGAATCTAATTTAAGTTTACTTCTTTGGGAATTTTATATCATATATTAAGTTTATTGTATTGGTAACTTTTTTATTACTAAAAAAAGAATTTTGTTACACAAAAAAAAGTGTATAATGCATAACATCCCAGCTATTACAATATATTGGAGGGCTTTTATTGGAAATGTTTTTTTTTTAACATTTTCATTTCCAACAAGACTGCAAGCACCTACTATTAGAGAAAAGATGAAATTTATAGAGTAAAATAACAACTAACAGAAAAAATTAATAGATTGCAAATTATATGAAAAAAAACAAACAAGCTGAAGCAAGTGAAAAAAAAGTTTCACGAAAAAACAGATTAGAACTTTTTAGGCACTTAGGAACAGTCATATTAAAGGATTAGCCTTTATTGAATGATGAGTAACACAATAGTGAGTTTTAGTAGATGATACAAGAGACGCTAGCTCTTTAGAGCAGTGTCCATAATTGTATTTATAAAAAATAAAATGAGAAGCAACATTATGATAATATTCTAATGGTTGGAGGTTGGCTGCAAAGGTCAAGGTGCAAAAACAATTCCTTTTTGTACCTTGTCTAAAAGAGAAAGGCCATTACTGGAAGATCTGATTAAGATATGGCAAAAGTGTTCCATGCAGGGATGGATGTAAGATTTATAGAGATAAGACATAAATATTTATAGAGATGTTTGAATTGATGAATACTTTTAAATTTAATATTGTATCATAAGTTGACAATATATTCAAAGACTGAAATTTAGCACAATTGTATTAAGCAAAGGTCTTTGCACACCACCAATTAAGCATTTATATTTCAAGAGTTGTTTATTGATAAAAGCTTGCCTTAATTTACATAAATAGTAATATTTGTAGATATTATTATCTACTAGATAATAATTTATATTAAAAACTAACCTTTATATGTCTCGTTTTCAAATATGTTGTGTTGATATATTTGCCCTGGCTTTTAGTTTATGACTCAATATTTAAACATCAATTCTTGAGGTTTAACTATCTCATCATTTCTAAAAGTATTAAGGGTAGACAGCCTAACTCACCATACCTAATCAAAACAAAAGAACATTATAAATTCGTATCTTTCTAATTTTATGAATAATTTTTATTTAAACATTAAAACAATTTTTTGGTTGAAATCTAATACATAAATTTCAAAAAACAAATTAAAATTAAATAATATCAATAAGAAATTATGCAAATCTTTTTTTTTTATCTATAACTTATTAACTTGTAGTGCAATTATAATTTTTATGCAAGATTTTATACCTTTTTGTCGCAATGTAACTCAAGTCTCAGCTAGAATACCAAATGAATAAATAATTCTAAACTATATGCATTTAATTCTATACTAAAACTATATACATAAACTCTAAACTATATACAATAAGTTTTTTTTATTTATTTAATCTAATAAACTCTAACTGTAACTATAACTCTCAGCTAGAATATCAAATAAATAATTCTAAACTATAACTAACTTATAATTATAAAAATATTAACAGTTTAAAAAAAATAAAATCCAAACGCTAAATAATCTATAATATAATATTGAGATAATAACAAAATCAGAAAAAATTTCAATAAATTTCAGTTGTTGTTGCTGTTGAACATATCGCGATACTCGATTTCCCGGTTTTCGCTTTCAAACTTTTCGCTTTAACGTTCTTTCGCTTTAAAACTTTTCGCTCTTACGTTCTTTCGCTTTTAAACTTTTCGCTCTTACCTCCCATTACCCTTGAATATAAACATGAAATAAAATTAAAATAAAAAGGCCGACCGAATGTTTACATTTTTATTATAATAGGATTGCGTAACTTTATAAACATAAAATGTCAAAATAATGTCAAGAGGAAATTTTTTTAAAAGCCAAAAGAATTTTTTGAAAATCAAAAGAACTTGCCTTTTCTTTCATTTTATAATAAATTTATATTTTTAATAGAAATAAAAATCTCAGTATAAAATTATAATTTATTTTAGTTTGATAATTTAACACAAAAAAAAAATTAAGTGAAAAACAAAGCAAATGGTTTTGACCCATGGTGAATAAGTGCAAATTAGCATAACTCCGAACTGGCATAAGCGCAAAGCAGTTGGAAAAACTGAGTTAATTGCAACTGGCAAAAGTGCGAATTGGCTCAAAAGAATTTTGAAACATGGCAT